GCCCCCACATACAGCGTCACAACCCAGCGACCTGGGAGTCCAAGGCGCCGCTTCTCACACTTAAAGGGCCAGAACAGACCAAAAATGTCGCAAATTCTCACAGTCCCTGAGCCCATAGACCTAGCGATGAAGAAATAGCAAAACTCTCAGACGCACAGTTTAAAACACTGGTCATCAGGATCCTCACAGAACTGGTTGATTATAGCCACAAATTAGACAAACGTATGAAGGCGAAACTAATTGAAATGAATGGAATTGCACAGGAAACCAATAGCAATGAAAAGGAAACTGGGACTCAAATCAATGGAGTGGACCAGAAGACAGCAAATAATGGCCAAACAGAAAAGAGTCAGGAAGCAAGAATTCAAAGAAATGAGGAGAGTCTTGGGAACCTCCAGGACATCTTTAAGCGCTCCAATATCCGAATTATAGGGATACCAGAAAGGGGAAAGGCACAGCCACCAGTGGAAAACTTATTTGCACAAATAATAAAGGAAAATTTCCCCAATCTGGCAAAAGGAAATAGACTTCCAGGAAATCCAGGAAGCTCAGAGAGTCCCAAAGAAGTTGGACCCAAGAAGGAACACACCAAGGCACATCATAATTACATTAGCCAAAATTAAAATGAAAGAGAGAATCCTAGAAGCAGCAAGAGCTAAGGGGACAGTCACCTACAAAGGAGTCCCCATCAGACTGTCAGCAGATTTCTCAAAAGAGACCTTACAGGCAAGAAGGGGCTGGAAAGAAGTATTCCAAGTCATGAAATCCAAAGACCTACAACCAAGATTGCTCTATCCAGCAAAACTTTCATTTAGAATGGAAGGACAGATAAGGTGCTTCTCAGATAAGATCAAATTCAAGGAGTTCATCATCACCAAGCCCTTATTATATGAAATGTTAAAGGGACATATCTAAGAAAAAGAAGTTAAAGAAACATGAACAGTGAAAGGACAACAAACTCACAGTTATTAACAACCACACCTAAAACGAAAGCAAACTAAAAAGGACAGCTAGATCAGGAGTGGAAACATAGAAATGAAGATCTCAAGGAGGGTTAGCAACAGGGGAGTGGGAGGAGGAGATGGGGAAGAAGGTACAGAAAATAAGTAGCATAGACAGTAGATAGAAAATAGATGGGGGGGCAAGAATAGCATGGGAAATATAGAATCTAAAGGACTTGAGACACATGGTCATAAACTAAAGGGGGGTAATGGTGGGGATGGGGGGTAGGGTGGAGGGGAATGAAGGGGGGAATAGAACAACTGTAACAGCATAATCAATTTTAAAAAATTAAAAAAATTTTAAAAATAAAATAAATAAAATATTTTAAAAAAAACTGTTCTAGAAAACAGGGGAAAGATGGAGGTATGCTTCAGCTTATTTCATAAAGCTAGTATAATCCTAAAACCAAAACCTTTAAAGTACAGTGCATGAAAAGAAGATAATTAGCCCTGGCTGGTGTAGCTCAGCGGATTGAGCATGGGCTGTGAAACAAAGGGTCACTGGTTTGATTCCCAATCAGGGCACATGCCTGGGTTGTGGGCCAGGTCCCCAGCAGGGGAAACATGAGAGGCAAACACACATTGATGTTTCTCTTCCTCTCTTTCTCCTTCTCTTCACCCCTCTCTGAAAATGAATAAGTAAAATCTTTAAAAAGAATATTGGAATCTCATTAATGAACATAGGTGCAAAATTCCTTTAAAAATTACCAGGCTGAATTTAGTTTTTAATTTTATACTTTATAAAGTAACTGAGTTTTGTTTATTCCAAGAATGTGGAGTTGTTTAACAGACAATCTATTAATGCAACTCATTGTATTAATAGATTGAAGAGGTGGGAAAGAGTCCAGAATACATACACACACACACACACACACACACACACACACACACACACAATTTCACATACACAAAGTATTTCATAATAAAAATTAAATTCACACATTATAAGAACACTTTGAGACTTTTATTTACTAGAGGAAATGAAGTTAGTTCAGCAGTTGTTCTTCATGATCATTTCTTTCACCTTTACTTTTTTCTCTTCTTTCAAACTCTTCCAAACAGGATTTAAAGAGGTTTACAAAGCTTTGAGACAAAATAAATTTACAATAAATTAGAGAATGAAGCAAATGGGAAACTTGGTTACCAGAGCAAGATGGAGCTGGGATAACATTAGCACTTGGCTGGATATTCCCCATTTATTCCTCTCAATTCTCTTTCCATCGTTCTCCTGCTCTCTGCTTCTTTATGGGCTCCATAGTACCCAGCTTCTCCTATAGCTGCAGGTCTTGCTGGACACTCTGTCCTCCTGCTGCTTGAAGCCTAGAGGCTGATAACACTTTCCGTGAACCCACCCTTGCTGGTTTCCTTAACCCCTCCACACTTTTGTAACAAACTCCTTCACAAAACTCTCTTCATGTAACCCTTTTGAAGGTTCCATGTTTCCTGCCAGGGACCCGGATTGCAGTAGGCCACAAATTTGCATGCCTTAAATCTAAATGCCTATCACAAGTAGACCATAAATACAGCTTTAAAGCCTCAGTGTGATTATCAAGGGGGAAACACAATGAAAGAACTTCTAGTTCTTCAAGAGAAGCAGACCTACTGCCTGTCTATAGCCTTTGGCAGCAGTCTCTGCCCTGACTAGCCCCAGTCTGGATGCTCCACAGGAGGGCAAAAGGACAGTGCCATCCAGTGTTGTCCTGGGATGCTGCTATAGTGCAACTTGGCACCTGGTAGATGCCAGTAAAATCCTCAGGTGATGCCCTGGCATATCTTCCTTGGTTTTCCTTCCAACGACACTTTTTAAACAAGTCTATAAAAGCTGTGTTTTCTGATACGTGTTTCTGGAGCTGGGGGTCCCCCTGACCCCATTACCTGGTGTTAAACATTTTTATGCTGTACCAAGAAATCTGGGTGCATGATTCACCGTGTAAACTGGAAGAGAGAGAGAGAGAGAGTGCTCGCAGAACAGACTTACTCCTGACACCAAGATGAGCAAGATATTTTCTCTCACTTCTTCAGCAGAGATCATTGTGGTAAAATGATCTCATTCTTCTCTGTCTTACAAACCACTTCTAATTATTCGGGGCTCAGTCTTAAAATATTTTCTCTGCTTATCCACACTCACTCTCTAGTTGATCTCACCTAGTCTCACAGCTTTAAATATCATACATATGCTGATGACTCCCAATATGTATCTCCTGTCTTGACTTTTCCCTGAATTCTAGCTTTTACTATCCAGTTGCCTACGTTGGCTGTCCAATAGGTATCTCAGACTCTTGTCATGTCCAAAATGAAACTATGTTTATTCCAAAATCCTCTCTCCCTGATCTTCTCCCATCTCAGCAGTGGGTCCCAGCATCATTCATTGGTTGCTTAGGGTGTGTGTCTGGGGGCGAGGGGCATGGGCAAAATCTGCCATCCTTTATTCCTTTTTCTCACACTCCACATTCAATCCATCGGTATACCATGCTGGTTCTGATCTTCAAAATATATTCAGAATTGACCAACTCTCACCACTTTCATCACTATCTCTCTAGTTCCAAAAACTATAGTCTCTCTTATACTACTGTATCTGCTCCTAACTGGCATCTCTCTTACTTTTGCACTGTTCCATGGCCGCACCTCTAGCAGCCACTGTGATCCTATCAAAATGTCATGTCACCTCTTGCTCAGAATCCTCCAACAGCTTACTATCACAATCAGAATGCAATACAGAGTGTCCATCATGGCCTGTACAGTTTTACATGAGCTAGCCCCTGGATACCTGTGCATCTTTATTTTATACCATTTTTTCCCTGCTTTCTGCTCCTCCTTACTCCAGTTATACTGGCCCCTGATGTTCTGTGCACAGGTCAATCACACTGCTTGAGGTCGCAGAATCTTTGTATTTACTGTATTCTCTAAAACACTCTTCTCTAGATTTCTACATGTATCGCACATTTTATTTAGATCTCTACACAAACAGCAAATCCTCAGAGAAGCCTTTCCTGGTCATTAGCTCCAAAGAGCCCCTCCATTCCTATTCCTTACTCTTCTTTATGTCATTAAGCAGTACCTGACATTACATTAACTATAAATATGTAGTTATGCATTTGGTTGTCTGTCTTTCCATTTAGAATGTAAGCACTAAGAAAACGGGTTGATTTCATTCACTCTACCATCTCTAGTGCCACAATACCTGGCACATAGCAGGCTCTTGATAGATATTTGTTTAATGAACAAAAGATGCCATTCTAGTTTATCTAGTTTCTTGATTAAAACAAAGCAAGCTCCGAAAAATATTTGAGTCTCAATTATGATAGATGCTTAGAGCTTTAAAATTATATACTACAGTCCTCCTCCTGAATCGTGACCTTTTGGGTGAGTAGTGATTGGGCGAGAGCACAAGGGAGTCCTTGGGGTACCAGAAGTTTTTTAGCTGGGTAGTAGTCACACAGGCATATGTCTAAGCACAAACTTATTGAGCCGTACACTTAGGATTTTTGTATTTTAAGGTGCACTTCAATTAAAGTTTTTAAGTTTCTGATCCATCTAGACGCACCAACAGGTAGTTTCCATTGTGGCAAGAGTAGTGATAGAGATATGCACAACCCTGCAGTCAGTGAAAAGGCCACCAGCCAAGTGCTAAAACTGGCACACTCGTTAAAAAGAAGAGGCTGCATCCTGTCTTCGTTCCCAAAAACCAGACCTTCTTCAACGCCCTGGGATCACCTTTTCAATCTGGTCCCCAGTACGAGCTCCACCTGCTGGGGAGCAGATCCCTGACATCAGATGGAGCAAAGACCTTCCCTCAGAGAAACCCAGGGCAAGAGAGACGAACAATGGAGGAGTCTTTAAACTTCAGATTCTTAATCCCTGTGCCTGAGGAGGTGGACGCCACGTCTGCGTACGTTCGGACGGGACTATTAGCACAAAACAGCCCACCGAAAGTCACAGACCTAGAGGACACCGGTACACCAGACCCCAGCGCGCACGCGCAGCAGAGAGCTGCCGCTACGCAAGCGCACTGAGGTCTACCATAGCGCTAAACTGGGCTCGATTCTCTGCGGTCCGAGCTCCATCCCGGGCTCCAGGGCTCCCGGGGAGTGAGGCGCGCAACATGGAAGAGCGGTTAGCCGAATTCCGAGCGGCCCGAAAACGGGCGGACCTGGCGGCCGAAGCCGGCACTTCGAGCCAGAGTGCACAAACCTCGGGAAGGAAGGCGGAAGCAACTGCAACTCCAAAGTCAGCTCTGGGCTGGCTAAAACTGTTCCTGATGTGGAAACGGAGGCCCGCAAGTTCCCAGGCCCAGCCCAGCCTCACTCAGGTGAGAGGAGAGAGGCCTCACCCCCAAGGATGTGGCTTTTGGGCCGCTGTGGTGGCTTCCAGGGAAACTCGGGCCGGGGCCCGCCCCTGCCACCGGGAGGTAGTCTTCAGGCCCCTCCCTGGTGAGGGATTGGCCTGCCTTGGCCCGTCGTGGCCCCGCCCACGGGCCCAGGCCCACAGCCACGCCTCCTGGGTCCCAGACGCTGACTGCTGGCGGAGGCGTAGCTGCTGGCGCTTTCCACGTGTTCCTGGAGTTGGGCGGCCTGTCCCGTATCAAAACTGATAAGTGGGTTTGACAATTTATTTTCCAGGTGGCTCCGGATTACTGGTGGGAAGAAGGGTCTACGTAGTGATTTTCAACCTTTTTCATCTCATGCGTACATAAACTAACTACTCAAATTCTGTGGCACACCTTAAAACATGTTTGCCAACCTAACAAAAAAGTAGGTATAATTTTGATTCATTCATGCCAACCAGCTACTGTTATATTGGCTGCTGTTAATTTTTAAAAAGCTTTTATTTATTTATTTTTAGGGAAGGGAAGGAGAAAGAGAAAGAGAAACATGAATCAGTTGTCTCCAGCTCACCCCCAATGGGGGACCTGGCCCTCAACCCAAACGTGTGCCCTGAGTGGGAATTGAACCAGTGACCTTTCCGTTTGCAGGGCAATACCCAGCCTACTGAACCACACCAGTTGGGGCTGCTGTTGTTTTTTTTATTTGACAGTGTAAGGGTAAAGAGGTCAGTGCCCCTGACTAAATAGGCGTTGCCTGTTTTAAAAATTCTTGCAGCACACTAATTGAATATCGCTGGTCTAGGTGCAGGAAGAAAGCATCTCTGCCCTTAAATCATTAAGAATTGAGTTGAGTTAGTTGAGAGATCATCATTGTGACACCCTGTGGTTTTGGGAAACCTTTTCACAATCGTGCTGAGCCACAGCACTCTGTGAATGGAGGGTAAAAGGTCTAATTGGATAGTGATGAAAAAGTGGCAGTAATTAAGGCTTTATTTGATTTTGCACCTGGACCACATGCAGCCAGTAACCCACATAGCCTGTGCTTTAGAAATGGTATTTAAATACAAAACTTGCGAAAGTGTGGTAGCTGTAACTGCCAGAGGTGGCATGTGTTTGTGTGTTGCTGATGAACTAGAGAAGCTTATTCAGGTTCAAGAATGCATCTTGAAGGTGAAAACAATATTTAGATTAGTATGATAGCTTTCTTGCTTTTTAATTCTTCTAGTAATCTTATTTTCAGATGAACTTAATTCACATCTCTGTACCTTTATTCAGTTTTCACTCATGACTAAAGTGACAAGGTGACTTGCATGTGAAATTGGAGTTTCTAAGTGGGAATGCTGGACAAAATACCAAGGGAAAACTAGTGCTTTGAGACAATCTATAACATGGCCTTTGTACTTCAGAAGTGTAATAAGAGCCAAAAATTCCTTCTGAATTCCTAATTAAGTTCATTATTATTGCACAACATTTGGTTTTAGGGAAATTTTTTTTAAATCATGACTTGTTATTCAATTTTGATATTGTTCTCTGACAGGCAGGGTTCCAACTGATTTGCAGAAAACGTGCTGTAGGTTTCAAACAATCCATTTTCTCACGTGCAATTTGTCTCAGGGTAACTTTATTGTTGACTAGAACTCACTGAGCACAATTGCTTAAGCTTTTGGAATCTACTTCCCTTGCCCCTTTTTCTTCCTGCTGTTAAAAAACAATGTCTCACCCACACAATGAGTTTTCAACTATATGTCTCATTGCCAAAGGAATATGAGATCATTGAGTTGAACTCAGAGAACCTGAACCTGGAGAAAGCTTCCACTGTTAGAACCCAAAAGCTGATTGCCTGACAAAAGGATGAGAAGAAATGCTGGACCTCTCATTGATTCTTATTAATCAAGCTGTTTCTGTCCTAAACTCATTTTCATTGACTCAGTTATCACTCCTGGGTTTGCTTTGGTGTGACAGTTCTCATTAAATTGCTTTTTTTCTAATTTATAATCTATTTCTGCCTAATAATATTGGTGCACACAGTGGCATGTCAGATTTCTTAAGCCTTCTATTGGTAATTGCTTTTTTTCAGTGGTCATTGATAAGGAAGCATCCACATCCTCCTTCCCCTACTCTCGGATTTAGTTTGGGGAAATGCAGTCCCCAAAGTATAATATAATGTTTCTTTCTGTGACAAGCTTCCATAGGATTAGTACGAAAGTGCTTGCAACTTTCTAAAGTCCTGCAGAAACCCCCTGTCTCCCTCCTCAGACATATCCCACACCAGCCCCCAGGGCACCATCTAGCCCCAAGGTCCACTGCCCACACCTGTCTTGCAGCTCCTCACCTCTGACCCTTGGCTCAGGTTGGCCCACTGCTCAAAATGCACTTTTTCTTTGGAGTCACTGGCTAAGCACAGTCTTTGCATCAGCCCCTCAAGTCCAGAAGTCACCTTTTAGTTTCCTCCTTTCCCTCACCACCATTGGTTCATTCAGCAAAATCCTAGCATGTGCCCACCTTGTTCAAGCTACTATCCTGAATTTGGGGAGTCAGTGGGATAAACACAAAGCCCTGCTTTCACAGAACTGCTGTTTGGGTTTGGGGAGGCAGATAGTAAACAAAAGAACAGAATGGTGAATGCTATGAAAGGGGGAGAAAAACACACACTGTGTTAGTGAATTGGGGATATCGGCTGCAGAGTGCCACTTTAAATTGGGTAGGCAGGAGAACCTCACCAAGGGGTTGATATTTCAAAGAAGGAGCCATTCTTGCAGAAACCTGGGGACAAGGCCTAAGACACGTGTAATGGCATTTTTGTTGAGGTTTGTAGAAGAGGGAGCCAGTGAAGTGATAGGAGGGGACTGGGGTGTTCCTCTCAGAGGGAAGTATAAGTGCAGAGGCCCTATAGTGGGAAACAGCTTGGTATTTGGTGGATGGAAGTAGGTATCTTCCCTAAACTATGCCTGTATATGTGCTTTGTTAACCACAAACACTTCCCACTTGCACACAAGATGCACTTGAACTAAAATGCCAAACAAGGCAGAGGAATTCCCCATATCCCACCGCTCCTTTCTTTGTCTCTTTGCCAGTTCTATTAAGCATCACCCACCTCCTTCTACCTCTCTGACTCTTCCACTTACCATCTCCCATAAAGGCTCCTAACAAACAAGGGCTTTGGAGGGAGATCATCCTCAGCTCCTAGACCACCCTCGTCATCTCTGCCTATCACTGTCTGTGTGACTTTAGGGGAGTTACCTAACAACTCAGTGATTCCTTATCAGTAATTTGGGAATAATAATGCCTGCCTAGATTATAGGAGATCAGGGATCTTGAAAGCACTTGGTAAATAAATTATGGCTATAAGGATTATTTTTATACTACCTCAATAATATAATAAATTCCGTTTTACTGTGAATTTCAAGTCATACACTGACTTGCTGATGTTGCTGAAAAAGAAAGCTCTAACAAATAATATTTCTGAAACAACATAAATCAAATGACCTGTATTTTTTTAATCAGGACCAAATAATATTTGTGGCCCCTTCTAAAATTAAGTGGAAAATAGGAGATATAATTGAAGAAATGAACTGAAAGTTCTGCTGTTGATTAAAAACCTATGTTCAGGTACTGTGTTTGGCTCTGGAGACATCAGAAGATAATGACAAGTCTGTGGCTTCGTGGTAACAATCAAGGGACACATGCAACCTATATTAAAAGAGAAACACTTCAGTAAGTGTTTTGCCTAATGTTTATTTTCTTAGACAATTTTTTAAATAAATTTTTTAAAAGATTTCATGTATTTATCTTTAGAGGGGAATGGAAGGAGAGAGGGAGAGAAATACAATATATGGTTGCCTCTCATGCATCCCCTACTGGGGACTGGCCTGCAACCCAGGCATGTACCCTGACTGGGAATCGAACCGCAATCTTTTGGTTTGCAAGCCTGCACTCAATCCACTGAGCTACACCAGCTGGGGCTGTTTTCTTAGACAATTTTTTAATAGTCATCTGTATATCATATTGTGTGTTCACCACCCTAAGTAAAATCTCCTTCCATCACCACTTACCCCCTTTACCCTTTTCTGTCTCCCCCCACCCCTCTGGTAATCACCGTGCAATTGTCTGTGTCTATGAGTTTTCTTTCTTCCTTTTCAAAGGATCTTATTTATTTATTTATTTTTAGAGAGATGGGAAGGAAGGAAGAAAGAGAAGGAGATAAACATCAACAAATGAGAAAAACATTGATCGGCTACCTCTCACACGCCCCCCACTGGGGAACTGGCCCAAAACCCGTACCCTGACGGGGAGTCCAACTGGAGACCTCAGTGCACTGAGCCACACCTGCCAGGGCTATGAGTTTTCTTTTTCTTTGCTTAATCCCTTCACCTTTTTCACTCAGCCCCCCGCCCCACTCCCCTCTGACAGCTGTCTGTCTATTCTCTGTATCTGTGGGTCTGCTTCTTCTTTGTAAGTTTAAGTTACTGAAAAAGTAAATAAAATTAAAAAATAAAAGAGACATTTCAATGCTGAATAGTGTGGTGCTCAATGAGAAAGAGCCAGTCAGTGATTGGGGAGGCAGAGGCCGTGTTCTCTGCATGGCCAAGAAGGTCTGGGCATACACAGCTCAGCAATCGTGCTTGCCTGGAAGGAAGGCAAGGGGCTGAGGACTGTAAAGGGAACAGACTATTCCAGGCCACGGACAGGCAATGTCTCTGGGTAGTAAGACCAATTGAACTGGAGTAGAGGGTACATTTGTTCAGCATTAGAGTATGTTGTACAGGAAATTTTTTAGACCATCATTTTTAAAATGGTTAGTCATGACCTTTTAGTGAGTGTTGAAATAAGACAAATCTAGCCCTCTGTTAAAATAAATTTTAAAAAATAGAATAGAAAATGACAGCTTCATATGTAATGAAGGTATTTGTTGATTTGTGAAATGTTTTTTCTGTTGTATACATATATACATACATGCATATTATGCATACTGGGTCACAGTACAAAATTAAACATTTTAATTGTAAATCATACCCAAAAAAGTTTGGAAAATATTGGAATAGAGATCAAGCTCCCTAAATCTACCAAAATACCTGTGTCTCCCATTAGCACTCAGCCCAGGAGTCTGTGTACTGGCATTTCTAATACTGACATTTCTATCTGTTGAATAAATGGAAGGCTTTGGATTCCAGCCCAAGGAATTTAAATTTTAACCTGTATGCTGTAACAGTTTGTCGAAGGCTTTGTGAACAGGAGGTTGACTGGTATTTGGGAGATTCATTTAGCAACTGTCTGTACATAGGATGGCATGAAGAGGGAAGAGCTAGGAGACAGAGAATCCTCCTAGGAGACCTTGCCTGAGTCATTAGATGTGTAGGATGGTCACAGAATGGGTTGTGGCTAGAACTTTAATTTTTATTTTCATGTGGAAGGGGTTTTTGTTTTCTCTTTCTGGCGTAGTTCTCATTTTAGAATGATGTCACTCAAAATTTTAGCTCATCTAATCCAATCATCAAACATTGACTCTGTGTGTGAAGTATACAGTGGCTCTTGCATTATCAGTTACTGGGGAGCTTCTGTGTGAGGCACAAATTAGTGCTCGTTAGCAGCAGACTCACACATCTGAGAAAATGTCTCCCATGAAGGGGAACCTATCCACATGCCGTATGGTTTTTGTCCAGTCACCTCACTAAGTGCTGATCAGTTTTGATTCCGTCGGAGCAGGGCAGGGCAAGGAAATAGAAATCAATGAGCCAGAAGCCTTCCTGGAGCAATGGGAGCTGTATCTCCAGATTCGTTTTCATCCCCTCAGACCCATTACCCTTTATTCTTACTTTTGTTTGTTTGTGTCCTAGGAGGCCTCTCAGCCTGGGAGCAGCACATCACAGCCCCCACGGAGAACAGCCATTCCCCCGCCATTGCCACAGGACCAATCCTTCCTGACCAGCATCACTTTCTTGAAGGTTCTTCTCTGGTTGGTCCTGCTGGGACTGTTTGTGGAGCTGGAATTTGGCCTGGCTTATTTTGTCCTGTCCTTGTTCTACTGGATGTATGTTGGGACACGGGGCCCTGGGGAGAAGAAGGAGGGAGAGAAGAGCGCCTACTCTGTGTTCAACCCAGGCTGCGAAGCCATCCAGGGCACCCTGACTGCAGAGCAGTTCGAGCGAGAGTTACAGTTTAGACCCCTGGAGGGGAGATAGGGCCAGCTGCGTGTTATCAGCTAGCCTCCCAGCAACTCAGCCCTCCTGGCACGTGGCCTGGTGGGTTTGTTCAGGTGTCCCAGATTAAGGACAATTTGTAAGTTATTCCTTTGACCATACGGTTCTACCTGCTTTCCCTCATCTTCTGCTGCAGTTCCATCTCTGAACTTCTCTGGTTTTGGTGAAAATCCCTGAAAGACACTCACTGTAGGTCTGATGCAATTTATAAAAACTAAATACTCAAAAGGAGACTTGTCTGTCTCATTATTTTGAGAGAGATGATTTTAGAGCACTAGAAAGGCACTGGGGAGATAACTGTAAAACATCCAGCTGTTTGTTTTAATGGCCAGGTCCGTCAGGATTGTGCATTAAAAGTAAATGTTCTCTTTAAGTCTTTTCATAGTTACAGCATTTTACTTCCTGAAAGGTTTAAGTTGCAAGTTTTGATTGGGGGGGGGGCTTGTTTTGTTTTTTCCTTCCTGTTTTGTTTTGCTTTTTTTGGTCATTAATAGTATTAAAAAATAAAATATCTTTAAAACTGCCACTGGTGTGGCTCAGTTAGTTGTGTGTCCTGCAAAGTGAAAGGTTTGATTCCCCATAAGGGCACATTCCTGGGTTGTGGGTTTGGTCCTTGGTTGGCCCGCAAATGAAAGACAACCAGTTGATGTGTCTCTGTCATATCGTTTCTCTCCATCTCTTCCTCCCTTCTCACTCTCTCTAAATAAATTAATTAAATAAGTAAATTAAATAAATGAAACAGCTACTTTTCAGAAACAGATCCTATTGCCCGTCTCCATCCTCTGCTCTCCTCAGTGATTCTGCCCCTGCTCAGTGAAGGATATAGTAGGAGAAGACAAAGCCCTGGGTAATGTGTGGGGAGGGCTTTCACAAAGTCGGCATGGGTAGATTTGATAAGTAGTTATTAACGATAATGCCAGCCAGAAAAAATTCTCGAGTGTGTACAGAGGAGAGCTCTGCAACTGGAACTCCAGACTTATTGGTGGTTTGGGGAGTTTCTTATATTCTAAGGGCTTTAGAGTGAGCAGTCCCTGTGCCTGTCGGCCTTTGGTGAGAAGTTACGTAAATATCGATAATCAGACTTGCTTTCAGTGTTTTCTTCAGTACAAAGCCAGGACTTGGGTCATTAAAATTGGGCTAAACAAGTCATTAAAAACTTATTTAATAGATTATACTGATGAATAAGAAAGCTCTAGTTTTAAAGCAATAATGTTTTCCAGACTTAAGATTTTAAGAAATTAATGATTCCTCAGCAGGTTTCCCACTTCAGAATTCAGTTGTTAATTCTTATACTATGAAGGTAACTTTACTATTTATGAGATGTTATTAAGCAATGGAGGCCTACTGTTAATTCTTTTTTTTATTGCCTGATTCATTTGTATAGCAAACTCTTAGCTCAGTTTATTTTTTATTTTTTAAAGATTTTATTTATTTATCTTTAGAGGGGAAGGAGAGAGGGAGAGAAACATCAATGTATGGTTGCCTTTCATGCATCCCCTGCTGGGAACTGGCCTGCAGGGAACCAGCATGCAACCCGGGCATGTGCCCTGACTGGGAATTGAATTGCGATCCTCTGGTTCACAGACCTGTGCTTAGTCCACTGAGCTACACCAGCCAGGGCTTAGCTCAGTTTAGTTATCTTTTATTCATTGAATGCCAGTACTCTGCTAGGTGCTTGAGATATACTGAGAAAAACAGACATTTTCCCAGTTCTTTAAGCATACAGTCTAGCCAGGAGTGGGGTAGTAGACAAAGTAAAACCAGCATTTCCAGCAATACAGTGAGATAAGTTTTAGTTACAGGATGTGTACTGAGAGGATGCTCTCATTTATCACACTTTGTGGCCAACTCACCCCATGTGTTTCAGCCCTTGGTGAAAATTCTGCTATGCGTTGCTGTTCTCCACAGCCCTTTGGGAATTTGGCTGTCCCTCAGAGTCATCCAATTGAGCAGAAGGCCCTCTTAGTTCAGAAAGAAGTCTTTTCTTCCATGACTTCTGTGTGAAGCGCATCTGTAGAGAGTATGGGAAACAGATGAATCCCTGTCAAACATTTGATTACATTAAGATCCATGATTTTGTTTTCCAATTTATTTTCTTAAGGCTTTCTTCATTTCCCTGATATTTTACTTGGGCTTTTCCATTTCATAAAAGCCAATACAAGGAAGAAATCTCTTTGATCAATAAGCATGGTTCTAGGAAACAATGAATTTGCATTTTAAAAATATATAATTCAAACCTTCCCCTAAAACAAAGTGCCTGTAACTCTATAGTAGGAATATTGGATCCAATTAGTAATCCCAGCAAGGTAGATATTTCTCTTAAATATAGAAGAGAATCAACTTATGAGTAGACCTCACTAGTGTTCTTTGAAAATGTGGCTGTTTCTTAATGAGGTAGAGCCTTGGTCCAGAAGCCCCTTTTTCATGGGATTTTCTGGGAACCATTTGTCACCTCTCCTTGCTCACTTCTTCTCAAAGGTTGCATAATGACAGCATTAACTTCTAGGAAAAGTGGGGTGTGAACCAATTAAATGCTTGGCGGGGAAGAGAGGAAAGGACTGTATGTATTTGCTGTTCTGATCAGACCATTAAGCTTTAGGTGCAGTCTTGATTTCCTGAATTTAGAAAGCACCATTGATCTCAGAATTTCCACTCAGGGCCTGACCATTAGCCCAGCAAGCAGCTTCCTTTAAAAGGCTTCTTCTTGTCATTAAGAAACTTGAGTCCCAGGGCTGCATTTAGTCCCTAGGATAGCTGCGTGCACAGGTGAAGTTGTTTCTATTCAAATCTTACCAGTAAATTGCCTTTTGCTCTTATTTCACATTGTCCTATCTTGCCTATTCACAGGGACTGTTAAGCGAGCCTTTATTTGTAGGGCTGGAAGGGACCCCAAAATGCCATCAAATATGTCCTTCCTGCCTAGGGCAGGGCTGCATTTATCCCTGACTAAATTTCCCCCCCCAGTGACCCCTAAAGAAGAGGAATCCAGGTACAAGATTCAGGCTCTTCTAGGCAGTTCTTCATCGAAAGAATTTGAGCCATCCCCCTCACCACCACCCCAGGTTATTTCTTATTCTAATCTGAGTGGACACTGAGCGTCCCCAGTCTGGTAAACCCTTACTCAGTTATCTCCTTGTCTTCTCTGTTCTTCAGGCTAACCCATCTGAGTTGTGCTTCTGTGACAATCACTTTGAATCTAGCCCTCACTTGCTCTGAGGGTTCCAGGTCTGGGTGGGGATGAATGAATGTTGGTAGGTGCAATGACTGAACAGCTCTGGAGTTTTTTATCAGTGATGATTTAGTCATGTATATTTTGTGCTATTAGGATTGTGCTTTGAGTCTCAGAGATCTTCCACATTAACCTTTTGACTGATCTGTACATAAAATTAAGCTCACAATCTGCACACACACACAAAAAAAAGAAATTAGGAAGTTAGACAGTTGGCAGAACCAGTGATCCTCAGTTGGGCAGAAGAAAGTAAAATTCTGTGTTTTTGGTTCCTGCCACTCACACTGTAAACCTATTTGCCAGCAAATATTTGTAGGCACACTGGTCCTGGCACTGCTGGGGACGTCTTCTGCAGTCTGAATCCCCTGTAAGGGTCAGGATGCAGATGGGGCTGGGGTGCCACGGAGCATCTTGCCACCAGGGGGTTGCAGAGAGCTGCTGCTGTCCATCAGGTCTCTTCCCATCACTCTTGATAATTTTGTCCCATGCAAAACTTCTGGATGTTTATCTGCACCACTTCTGCCGATTTTCAGGCAGTCTTTTCAGTCTTAAGATTCACAGAGGAAAGGGCCCAGCAGAGGTCCTGGGAGAGGCATAGAAGCTACCAGGCTGATTTATATGTATTTTTAAGTAAAACAACAGTCCCTCTCTAGACTTAGCAGGCAGTATTGCAGTCAAGGGGGCTAGCCCTGTGCTTCTCTACATCTGAGCTTTGTGGGGAGAAAAAAGGCGAGTAACTTACACAGCTGGCAGAGAAACTTGATCCCTGAGTCAAGAGAGTAACATTTCAATTGTATGCTTTGGTTCCTGTCATATATACTTTTATTTCATTGGAGCCATGGGTTGGATAATGACTTGAATCTCACTCTCCAAAAGCTGAGAGAGAACACAAAGTAACTACATACAGAACCACATCATAAAGCATGTAACAACATAGAAGTTTATAAAGGTATAAGATGTGTGTGTAGGAGTCATCAGAAGAGATTGCTTTCAAATCTAAATTCTATACTAGGTAGGATTGTCACTTTTATATGAAAAAGGCTAAGTTTATCTAAGTCAAGGATGAATGTTTTGCCAAGTGTGGTCTATGGACCACTTGCATTGGGATCTCCTGTGGTAACGGTAACGTGCGGATTCCAGGGCCTCACCCAGACCCACTGACTCAGAATGCCTGGGGGTAGGACCCCCAAGACTATGCATTTAACTACCTTGGGATAACCTCTAGTTTACTAAAGAGAAGAGCTGCTGACATAAGTCATAAATGTTAGAATAGGAAGAAAACAGTATACATTAGATCCAAGCCAAGAAAGACAACTGTGTATTTTATCTTTTAATTGATTAAATTTATTGTTGGTAACACTGGTTAATAAGATTATATAGGTTTCAAGCATAGATCTCTATGGTACATGATCTATATATTGCATTATGCGCCCACCACTCCAAGTCAAATCATCTTCTATCACCGTACATTTGACCCCTTATACCCTTTACTACCCCACCCCGCTCCCTCCGGTAACCACTACACTGTTGTCTATCAGTTTCAGTTTTATAGTCCACATGAGTGACATCATATAGTTCTTCACTTTTTCTGGCTAACTTATTTTGCTTAGCATAATATCTCAAGGTCCATCTATCTAAGTTGTCGCAAATGGCAGTATTTAATCTTTTCTCAAGGCTGAGTAGTATTTCACTGTATATATGCACCAGTTCTTCTTTATCCAATCATCTGTTGAAGAACACTTTGTTTGTCTCCATTTCTTGGCCACTGTGAATAGTGCTGCAATGAACATAGGGTGCGCATATCTTTGCAAATAAATGTTTTCAAATTTTTCCAGTAGATACCCAGAAGAGGGGTTGCTGCATCACATGGTAACTCTATTCTTAAGTTTTTGAGGAGTCTCCATACCGTTTTCCATAGTGGCTGTTCCAGTTCACATTCCCTCCAGCAGTGAATGAAGGTTTTTTTCTACACAACCTCTCTAACACTTGTTATTACTTTTCTTGTTGATAACAGCAATTCTAACAAATGTGAAGGAGTACATCCATTGTAGTTTTGATTTGCATTTCCCTAATCACTAATGAAGTTGAGCATCTTTTCATATATATCTGTTGACCATTTGTATGTCTTCCTGGAAAAAGTGTCTGCTCAGGTCCTCTGACCATTTTTTAATGGAATTGTTTGTTTGCTTGGTTTTAGGTTATATGCATTCTTTATATATTTAGGATATTAACCCCTTGTTGGAGCTGTTGTT